TAGAAACTGTAAAACGACTAGATGACACAATTCACTACAAAATTGAATGTCAAGACGTAAAAGGTCCTCTAACCGAATGAAGAGCATTACGAGGGTAATATGCGCATGCGTCTCTACACTCGGCGCAGCAATGGCGGAGAAATTTGAGTCGGAGAGTTCTTTGGACCATTCAATGTACCATTTTTTAACACTGTAAACTGTAAAAACGTCTTTTTTCCTTGTAAATTGTAAAAAGCCCTTTTTATTTCCCGTAAAACCGTACCAGCTACCCCCTTTGCCTCCCCTCTCAAACAGTACGCGGTCGCATCGACCTCCGCAGCGCGTCGGTCGATACTCCCGCTGTACTGTCTTCGTGCATACTTTGCAGTATACTCGTAATAACCTCATATTATTATTATTTTCTATAACAGCTAATACAATATACGTCGCCGATTCTCCTACTTTGGATTTTGAAAACTTGGATGAGTACGCCCTCACTGTGACGTGTCATGACAATATCAATGCTGGCACACCAAAAGTACTGACTGTTGAGATCACTGACGAGAATGAAGCACCGACAATAATCAACTTACCAGCCACCGTTACCGTACCTGAAGACGCCATCAATTCGGTACCTATATTTGAAGCTGATGTATTTGACGTGGACGGCAGCTCTCTTAGGTATTTTCTTACAGTGACGCCCTCTAGCGGACAGGGAAAATTCTTCGTAATAAATAGTAGTAAGTATGTGTTGTTGCCCTGTGCATCATATCATGTGAGATTTTGTTTTGCTAGGATCATTATTGATACTATTGATTAAAGGTGAAGGTGGGTCATATAAGAAATTTTTTTTATATTAAATTTAATTAATTTTAAAACAGCTGACAACGATGCAAAGATTAAGATATCTAACAATCCTGCCTTTGACTTTGAGGATGTGCAGCAATATTCTTTGGTGTTGGAAGCAACTGACGGAGAATTCACTGCAACTGGTACTCTGAATGTCGACATTGTGGACACCGAAGAACCACCCAAATTTGTAAATGATAACCAAGATGTTCATATTGACGAAGAACAGGTATATATGACGTAGTATAATTGCAACTACATGTTACGTCGAGAATCTAATAATAAATAACCGTCGTTAGAATCATTCAATTACTAGTATACCTACCCTATTTATCCACAGGTCGTCGGAACATTGGTGACGATAGACTTCGATGTCATAGACGTGGATGATGTTTTAACTGACCTAGTTTTCAATATGATTGGTGGAACCTATTCTCCATACTTCAGTTTAACTGGTGGAACCAATCCAGAATTACGTATTGCCCAAGTCATGGATTTTGAAGCCTCTTTTCCAATTCCATTTTCCCTAATGTTTACTGTTACAGATCCATCAGGAGAGAAGGATTACCTGACAGTGAATATATACCTTGAGAATATCAATGACAATGCACCCGTGTTCACCCAGCTATTGTATTCTGGTGAAGTGTTTGAAATGGATCCTTATGGCACATTTGTGTTGCAAGTGTCTGCAACAGACGCAGATTCCACGGATATCGTCACATATTCAATTTTTCCAGTGAACGCATATTTTGAAATTGACACTGTTACAGGGGAAATTATAGTTTCCGCGCTAATTAATTTGGAGGTCGTTGGGGAAACTATCGTTTTTGCCGTAGTTGCTAAAGATACTGGATCTCCAGAGCAGGAAGTCACCGCAACTGTGCAAATTACTGTCCTCGATATCAACGACAATGTTCCAAGCTTTGCAAAAGCCTATTGGAACTGGGAAGTACGCTATGACATTGACGTTGGTTCATATGTTAATAGTGTTACTGCTACTGATCCCGATTTAGGTAAAGTATCGTTCAACTTGACATGATCCAATATAAATTATAATGTATAACTTGAAATAATCAAAGCACAATATATTTAACTTACCGTGCGTTAATTGCAGGTGACAATGGATTGATAACGTACATGTTGTATGTATCACATCCTCGATATGAAATGGAAGTCGATGGCCAAGTTATTATAACAAGTTCATTAAATGCAGAACAGAGGTATATACTTATTTGCTATGCGGAAGACAGTGGGACACCACCAGCAAAATCAGAGTAAGTCGAGTAAATTTTCGAGTAGTAATTAATATATATATTTAGAAGTTATTACATTGAATCCGCGTGTTATATTTATGAGTTAATATCTCGTACGTGTTTTCGCTGTAGCGTATAAAACACACCGTCATTCCTCAATGCATGCATATTACATTTTAGGTATACCTATGCGGTCAGTAAAAGAATGTTGTACTACAGCTGGCTCAACCGATACATAATATTGTCGTTGTTTTCACATTAATTGCTCACAAGGCAGGATTATGTCTTACATTGACAGTGTTTCCATGATACGTATTGATACATACATACCACAACTGGTTCTCGTTGACGTCTATTTGGGAATTACGGTGGACGATTTTACGACAGAAAGACAAGGAGAGTTTATTGATACATTGAGTTTTATTTATAGTCCCTGGACATTTAGGTTATCTACGGTTCGTCATGACCTATATGTGTCTACTAGAAAGCTACTTCAAAAGTAAGTTTTGATGTTATTAGGAAATATATACAGGTTCGTGGGCGCTATAGGCCCTAGCGTTATGGTCAAATAGTGCTGTAATGTAGTGACAAATACGGATATAGTTACTGCGGTAAAATGCACTTTATGTAAGTGCTTATATAAACAAGTCGAGGGATCAACAGTAACATTCAATGTCCGGAAATATCATTTAAAACAAGGAAATGTTAATTAGCATAGCCATTCACCAAGTGGAAATATTTAACATGTGTTATTAATAGTAAATTATACCGAGATTCCGGTATCACCTTTTAAAAATAATTGTAGATATATCTTATTTGTTTTCTACGTAGCACCGCGGTTGTAGAAATATATGCGTTGGCCAACGATCTTACCGACTATCAGGACAACGTCGATATGCTGAAAGAGTTTGTATACTTTGAGAACCTTGCAGCGGCAATGAGAATCGACTCGGATGGCACACCGACGGATATAATAACTGGGTCAGAATTTGACAACTTTCCTATTGTTAAAGTGGAGCCGACGTACCAAGATATTGACACATTCAACTACAATTGGTGGCTCGATACCGTAGAGGGCAATGTTACACTTGCGTTGCTCACAATCGTGTTGTTCATTATAATTATTGGTCTTTTAGTTTTCTGTTGTTGGCGTTGGTGTTGGAAGAAAATGTTAAATCTCTGTAAACAAAGCCAATGCAATTGTAAAGGAAAACATTGCTGTTGGGATTCAACGAGAAAGAAATCTTCCATTAAAATGGAGCGTCCAGAGTAAGTGCACCTTATTAACAATATGGCAACAGTTCTAAATTAAAATGTCTTTTTTGATAACGAATATCACCCGTTTACAAATAGAAAAATGTAAAATCACATTTCAATAAATAAATAAATTACTCTTTGCCTTTCAGAGCCCCGGTAGCATGGGAAATCAGGAAACCACCAGAAAACATTCCCATGGACAGCAAACCAAACAGTAATGCAGATTTTGATTTCCGGTATGCTAACCGCCCTCATTATAAGATGTTGGATAATGTAATAATAGAAAGTCCAACCAAGACTCCACTGTCCAACTACAAAATAGCATCTGCTAAGAAGAAAAGTGAACCTCTTATTGTTTCTCCAGCTCAACTTCGCAGACCCCGAATACTTCCGACACGCAGTGGTTCTAAAGAAAATAGCAGTAAGGCCCGAACACCGCCGACACCTGGTGCATCCAAAGCAAATAACAGTAAAGACCAAATACCGCCGATACACAAAGACGGTAACAGAGACCCGGATGTTACAAAAACACCGCATCTGCAACATAACATGACTCACCCAAATATAGAACAACAGATCAAAGAACCAGTCGTACATATGCCAATCGATATTCCCAAAACGAATGTGCAACTCTCCAACAGTCCTGTCAGGGACTACAGTGGCAACTATTCTAGACCACCTACATTGCGGGAGGAACTAGATGACGCTCCTGTTCGTAAAACTGGCCTTATCGGTAACGATCGTGTAAGCCCACTGAAGTTCAATACTCGTGACGACAGGTCGGCTATTTCTCCCTCGATGTTTACACACAGTAACACACTAGATGAAACTCTGCTATTGACACCGCAAGGAACACCATCATCTAACAGAGCAGGTCAGTACTCAGTATTTAGTTTGTTACCAAACGCTTCAGCGTGGTATTAAGATTTTGTTTTCAGGCTTGGGTGGTACAAGGTGGAAAATGGTTGCACATATGGGGGGTAATTCCTGGAATTGCAATAGAGAGGGTTCAGGCCGAAATACATATATATATAGTGTTTCCATGTTTCGTCTGATATTTCTGTGGTATTCTGCTGCTGTAAATAATGCAAGATTTGTTCCGAAATTCAGTGTGTTGTGTGCACTCCAGGGTTATTCGTTTTTTGCTCAAAACACCCCTATTTTTTAATGGCAGAGTCGAATAGTTTCACTCCCACTGGGAAATCTGCATTGTTACTTGAATGAGAGCTAACTAAACACATTTTCCAGACCGGCGAAAGTGTATGCAACAGCCAATTTTAACAGCCT